GCTCGACTTCGGCAACATCGCGTCCGAAATACTCGAGGATCTTCCGCGTCTTCGCGGTGCTGGGGTTCCCATTCTTTCTAGCAAGCTGCTCTCTCTTGTACCAAGGGAGCTTGGACTCAGCGACCTTTCGGCGTTTAGGGGCCGGGACGACGTCGTCGTCTCCGTCCGAAGCCGTCGAGCTTCCCGCCTCTCGTGATCCCCCATCTCGGATCGAATCAAGGAAATCGTTGATCTCGGACTCGCGCTCCTCCCGCGACTGCCGCGAATTCTGCGGCGACGCACGTCTGCGCGAACTTTCCGGGGAAGGCCGCCCATCATCTCCTGCGTCGGATTCGACTTCAGAGACGTGGGACCCAACGACCTCATCACTCCTACGTCGAAAGGCTTTGTTGAGTCCAGCCGCGGCGTGTTTGCCGCGCTCTGACTGGTTCTGTTTCTCCAGTTCAATTGCATCGAGGAGGTCGATGTATTCCTTACACGCGTCGCCTTTGACCCGGTCGGTTTGACCAGGGGATTTCTGAATGCAACTGATGATTGCAATAAGGCAGTTTCCCTTTGTGACGTCTCCATCTCTGAAGGCGTCGACCCAGATTTCAACTTCGGCGATAATTGCTGTATCAATTCCGGCCGTGGCCAAATTCGGTTCATCAGCGATTCTCTGACTGGAGGCACCGACATTCGGTCCTGAAGTGAGGGTTTGTGCGCTTGAGGGGGTCTCGTCATGTCCATCGTGTGATGGAGATGCGGCAGGGTGTTCAGTGTCATGCGAGGGGCTCATGTAGAATATCACACAAGATTTAGGGGCGAGCAACGATGAAAGTTAAATTTGAGGGACGGTGGACGCAGTTCCTAGGCACGATGAACGTAGTTCCTAGAATATCACGAAAAAATCAAAAGCCTCTGCTAGAGGCGAATTAATCTTCTGTAACGTCCCTGAGGACATCAGAGCTTACCTAGAAGAGGATTGATGTTGTGGTAACGTCCCTGGAGGGATGTCGACGCACTGCAACCCTTTTCTAGGTAAGGTGATAGGAGGCCCACGTGCGTGGGACAGAGGCATTTGATTTTCTCATTGGACTCGTGTAAACATTCTGTTTAAACACGATAAATCCCTACCTTTCAAAAAAAGTCCCCATAACCCTAGGGCTCTTTGTCGAGATGTCATTACACTGCTCCATCCCCTCTTCTATCGCCTTCCATACGGGGCCAAGTGGCAGCGATCGCGATTGAAGATGGACGTGGCGACGATGATGGAAGAGGAATGGGATGATACACGGTGGCGTGGGGATGATCAGCCTCACATAAAACCGAAGGCAAGGCATCATGTCGAGGCCGAGGTGCATCCGCATCACCGTGATGCTTCCTACCGGCTAAACCCACTCGCATATATGTATGGTTTAGTTTTCGGCGGGCGAGGCCTGGGCCTGATCGATGAACCCGACACCGGGGGAAGTAGTGGATGAGGCCGAGAAGGGAGTGATGGAAAGAACGATGCCCTGACCGAACGATAGCGAGGCTGGGGAAGGCCACCTACGATAAGAAGGCGCTCAGCCCCGGTCGAGGTCCGAATTGCGGAGAGCACATACCATGAGTCACCCCTCCACTTCGTCCACCCGGACATGTCATTATCTGCCTTTTCGTCGTCTTCCCTACATGGCCCTCAATCTCGTCCACAGCCATCGTTGTTGCCATCGCAGACCTCGAATAGCGACATCGGCCTCCGTTTTCCTTGGCTTCGCGTCCGATGATGAATGACCGATGCTTGACGTCGGCGTGATGGTTGACAAGTTGGAGTGGGCAGTCGAACTTGGAAGAGTTGAGCTTGGACTCGGCTGCGAGGCGGGGGCGGAGTCGACCAGGAGTGGAAAGATAGGCACGCTGATCATACGCGAACTTAGTGGTTTCCTCGACCTCAGGCGAGCATTCTTTAGAGAGAGAAAAAAGGGAAGGGTAGCGGACTGGTCGTGGTGGATGTATCTTCCTCGAACTTGACTGCGCGTCTAGAGACGTGGAGCATGGAAGGTATGAGGTGGCGAGCTGTTATAGGGCCACGCTAGGTAAATCAAGGAATTCGAAACAGGATGAGGACAGACCTTCTCATGATCGATATCTTACGGCTCTAGGGCGCGAATTCAGGCCAAATACACCATTCCTTGCTGTCATAGCCTTCCTGAGCACACTCCCAGAAGGATCCCAATGCTGAAACCGAGAGGGTTACTGCCATTGGGCAGGACACCGTCGACCGTCAATACGATAGTGAGGCTAAGGCTCCATATCGGGTGAGTTCAATTAGGGGCGGTGGAATTTGCGGCCACCACAACGGACGTTTGGTTTCAGAGCAACAGAAGCGGCCATTGCAGTCAGCGCTGCGGGAAAGGTTGGGACGGTGTTGATGTTGGTAGACGCGGACCTTGCCAAACAAATGCTCTGATGTCATTTCTTTTCTGTACATCCACAACGCCTGGTCCGAACAAGAAGCCGCAGAAGATGCTCGTGCGTCCTGCAAAAGATGTAGTACTACGAGATTCGGGAAGGGTGCGGGTTCTACCATGTGGTCCAGGAATATCGTGAGTGGCTTACTCGTCCGTCACCATGTCTACTCTGACAGACTACAGTGGCCGTTTCCGAGTTGAGTTGTGAGGGGTACAGAGCCAACGCAACTCGCAGATGACGACGTAAGGAGGGAGGATAAGGCGCAGCCGATGGATATTGGACAACACCTCGGGCGTCGAGCGATGTAACAGGAACCTCCAATGTATGCGCTCCTGGTCGGCTTGGTGCTCAGATTTATGCACTGACACTCATGCTAGAACACGCTCGTGGAGATCTGAGTGGGACAGGAAGGGATAGCGTTGATGGAGGTGGGGTGGTGGCGAGGAATGGCGGCGCCGCATGGTGTTTGAACTCCCACTTGGTGCGGACGCTGGGTCCCCATCGGAATGTTCGTTGGTCTCGTTATCTGTGGTCTCTCATGCGCCTGATCGTTATCTATAGCTTCGCTGTCTTTTAAGATGGTATTGAACAAGGCGATCACTTGCTTATGATCGTACAGGCTGTCCTAAATCCGAGAAGTTGGGACGGTATGTACCTCGTCACTCGCGCATCGATCACCTGTATAATAACTATCTCCAGTAGACTCGACCTCCAACCCTCTCCATCGTCCACCCGCTGCAATGCCCGCTCCGTCATACACCCAGCCACCCCTCCTGCCGCCCCCATTCTTCAGGTTGATTATAGCCCACGAGAATATAAAGGACGCAGGCGGTACTGTCTCTTCTCCTTACATACAACCCTTCCATGAACAGAGCATATTAAAGCGCGACCGATCCTTGGAACACCACGGCGGACGAATCTCACCCTGCTCCCGCTACACAGCCTCCGATTTCCGAGTTCGACGTTGCGAGAAGTCGGGCTGGGTAAGGAGGATGGGTGGGAAGTTGTAACTGGGTATCGAAGTACCAATGCCAGTGCCCTTCGATCCGTCTGGCATGTAGGTCAGGAAGTCTCTCTGAGTCATGGAACTGGGACGTCCACCGTGACTCCTGAGGAATAGACCTGAAGGCTTGGTCGTATGATCAGACGACGTCTTCGTCGAGGTGGACCGACGCTGGAACGACCCGTTACGATGTCCTAGTGGGAGTCTCTCTCGTCATACACGGGCGTGGAGAGCGCATGCGAATACTGGCGACTCTGGATTTCTTGAGAGATGGTGTGGTCACCCGAGCGTGGAGAGGTGGAAAGACGCGGCTGGGTGTCGCAGATGTGTCGGCGGAAATACTTGCAACGATAGTTCCTGACGCACACCTTGGGGCTCACTAAGTTCGAGCTGGCCCGGAGCACGATTTCGTTCCAGGAAGGACTCACCCAAGGCTATCGACGAGCTTGGTTCCCCGAATCCCGGGCGTATGGGGTGTCTTGGCATCGACAATCACGACTCTGACTCTGACTCTGACAGCCCCGTATCCTGACTTTTGGGATTCATCCCTCTGTCAAGTCCTTTCTCCGGTCGTTTCGCATGGGCGGAGAGCTTACCTCTCTTCGTCTGAGCCCCCTGGACCTGCTCCTCAAGGTCCAGCATGTACATGGTTTCTGGACTACGCTCCTGCACCTCCCTAAGATGTGGCGGCACACAGTCACGGTTCCGGGAGATTGTGTCATGACGAACTGGGATTCACACTCGCGGAAGTGGGGAGTCGGATTTGTGGGGCTTGTGAGGGGGGATAGCGGGGATTGATTTATTGGGTCTTACCATAGACGGGTGGTCTTCGAAACCTCGAGGTATCTTGAGCTAGTTACGACGCTTCATCTTTGACTACCCCGCCATGCCGTACTTGAACTCTATATGCCATTTGGAGGGTGGGGGAAAAGCTAGTAATAGTATGGAGTCGTAGGATTCGTGATGTGTTCTGGATCGAAATGATTTCGACCCGCTGGTAAGGAAAAGCGTCGCGAACGCGGGAACGACGATGCTAAGAAGGAGCGGCAGCGACCGCGATTGGAGATGCATGTGGCGACGATGGTGGAAACAGGAATGAGATGTTAGTATTACGCGCTGGCGTTGGGAATGATCAGCCGCACATAAAACCACAGCACACCTCGTGGTATGTATCGCCCGTCGTTTCCCTCTGTTGCCTCCCCAGCATCTCACCAATCCAATAGACTGTCCGATTTACGTGGGTTTCAGGACAACGAATGGCAACATTGCGCGGGTCCCAGTCGGCGCTACGAGTCGAGGCCGATAAATAACATGAATGATCAGGATGCAAAATGGATATCTTACTCGAAGCGTACCTCGAGCTCTATGTCCCACCCGAATCCCAATGACGTGGGGTGTAACGTGTTGAAGGAGGAAAAAGGAAGCAGCGGATAATAACTTCAAGGGTCTCGTCCCGGAGTTAGCTCAGGTAACTCCTCTGACCGACAGAGAAGGTTGGACGGCTAGCTGGGGTAGCTGAAGGAGGCTATAGCAATGGTGGACGCGTCCATGTCCGAAATCTCATGGGCTCTTGGCACAGGGGTAGCGCGCACGCTTCGCATTACCGTCTGAGCTTACCAGTATTGCTTGCGTGAGGTCGTGGGTTCAATTCCCACAGTGTCCAACCTTTTTTTGTTCCGTACCTTTCGTCCACTGACGTTCGCAATTAGAATTTAGATTTGGTAGCACTGACAGCCTGACTGCCTCGTCCAGGACTCAGGAGCCTTCGAAAACCGAAGTTCAGGCCCTGATTACTTCCTCGTGCCGTCTACCTTACAAACGGAATGTCTAGCGTATCTATGGGATCTGTCTATCTCTCCCAGAAGGTTACCTTGTCCGCGAGTGTCTCTTCACGTTTGCAAGCCATAGTATTATTAGTATATGTCACAAGACGACATACATGGGAGTCGCACGACTCGGACTCGCACCGCGTGGATCGCCATGGGCATCCTATCTGGGGGCGGAATTCAAATTGAAGCAGTGGCCATGATTGGGCCGAGGTGGGGACCGTTCAGGGTAGGGTCAAGGAAGAGCGGAACGAACGTATCGTGGTAGGGAGTACCCAGAATAGGGTGTGTAGGCCCCGAGCGAAATTGTACCGGACGCGATGAATCTCACGCCTCGTGCTGCTGAAGTATGCTGAACGGATGATATGGACCGAGACGGGTGATGGATGTTGTTACCTGGATCGAAAAATAGTGTATCGCGCGATGCGTGTATGATGAAGGAAGCGTTGCGATTCTGGCGGGAGGTGGAGTTCAGAGACGGGGTGGGGTGGGAGGATTTTGGTGGGGTGGGAGGATGCGGGGGGAGCCTTGGACGGACTGGAGTACTGGTACGAGATGCGACGTAGGAGATGTGCCTTGGTATCGTAATACGTCTCCTACCGTTTGTTTGAGTACTTTGATTTCGCTGTGTGGTGAGGTGTGGTAGAGAGGAGAATGATGTGCATCTGGACTCGATATGCGATTTCGGGAGAGGCTCAGGCCCTCAGGGAGGAAAGGTAAGATGGAGTCGGAAGATTCGTGATGTGTTCACGATCGAAAATGATTTCGACCGAGATTTTCTCGAGCCTATAGATGTGAGATAGAGTGACGGGAACTGGGTTGAAGATTCGAAGCAATCACTGTTTCTACTGTATTGCAAGTCAGTGGGACGCGCGAATAAATGATGGATGTACGCGTTGTCCGTGCGAGCTAGCGCTAAGTATACCCTCCTTCCTTCGTTCTGTCTTTGCGATGGGACTTGTCGATGTCTCCTGTAGAAACAGGCACGAAGAACGTGGTACAGCGTGGGAGTGGCGGGACAAGAGATAGCCGAATCGTTGCCGAGCTCTATTTGTACATATTTCGTATCCAGGGCCCTTTGGGTTGATCACAATTTTGGCAAGGGGGAGTACAACAACTTCACGAGCCCATCGTTCGCGGCGATGAACAACGATGCGCAGGAGGCGGCAATGGGTCTCCTCAGCCTATCCCCCAGCAACCTCCCGCCCCCTCCTCCGCTCGTCCCCCTCAAACGCAAACACCCGCCCACCAGCACCGGCAGCACCAGCGCCAAGCGCCGGCCCACCACCAAGCTCGTGCATCCACCACAACCGCAGCCAACACAGGAGGGAGACGTCTCGACAGAGGCTATCAGCTGCATCTGTGGCTCGACGTTCGATGACGGGTTCAGCATCGCCTGCGACGACTGCTCGCGGTGGTGCCATGCCGCTTGTTTTGATATCGTATCGGGGGAGGTCCCGGAGGAATGGAGGTGTTGGGAGTGTGTGCCCAGGCCCGTGGATAGGGAGCGGGCGGTAAGGCTGCAGAAGGAAAGGCAGGGTCTAAGGGCGCTGGAGGAACAGCAGGTGGCATCGACGCAGGCGCCTTCACAACCCCAGCTTTCACACCCACCACAACGGCGCAGGACGAGCCCAGGGCTGGAACGAAAGCACCGCCGCACGAGCGCACCCGCCATCGACGGCTCCAACACCTCGAAGCGCAAACGACGGGCCTCCTTCGTCGTGCCCCCGCCCCCACCGCCGGCTGCTGAAGAGGACGCGGACGTCGTGGTCGACATCGACGAACCATGGTCGCATTCATACGTCCACATCCAGGACGACATCCTCCCCGCCCGAGAAACCCGAGAGAAACTCCTCCGGCACGCCCAGTCCTGGCGGGGCATCACCGCCGTCGCACCGTTCCCGCCTCCATCTCCCCCCGTCGCTGTCCACCCACTCCCGGACCCGGACCCCGTCCGCCCGCCCGCGTATGTCGTCCACACCACCGCGCCCGTCCAGTGTGAAGGACTCATCGCTCCATTTACTAGCACCATCACCCCGTCCGCCACCTACCTCTCCGACCCCCTCAACGCCTACGCTCATCTCGGTCTCCCAAAACCGTTCGTCCACCTCATAGGCCCGCCGCTCGATCTCGCGTTGGACGCTCGTATCGCGGGCGACAGCGCTCGGTATGTGAGGAGCGGGTGCAGGCCTAATGCGGTGTTGCGGCCTGTACTATGTCCACGATCGTCGGTCTCTGTCCCAGAGGAGGGAGCGTCCCCGAACCCGCAGCCGAAACCACCGGAGGAGAAGGAGGGGACGTTGGGTTTTGCGGTGTTTGCACTGCGCGATCTTAAAGCGCATGAAGAGGTCGTGCTGGGCTGGGAATGGGACGATGGTCATGCTATACACCAGCTCCCTGCCCTCATACAGACACCTGGTCTCTTTCCGTGAGTCACTCCCCACGCCTCCCTACGTTTCTATAGGTATTCACGCATATACCTTATAGCGCAGCCCACCAGAGCCATCTTCGCGCGCAGATGTCGAACATACTGCATCTGCTATCTTCGACGTTCCCGGCATGCGCGTGCGGTGCCCACGCCCGGGACTGTGCGCTGCGCCAGATGGAGAGATTCGTGGAGGGACTCCCGTTCGAGGATCCCGAGCCGCCTCGTCATGGGGGGACCCAGCAACGGGAGCAGGGGAGGGAGGAGTCGCAAAGGAACGGGCACGCGAAGGGGGTCGAGAGGGAGGTAGTCGATCTCGGGCCCCTCGTTGGCGTCCGACGCGGGTTCAGGACACGGGAGAGGATGGAGGGGTCTGGAGGGCGGGGCGGGGTGGAGATGTGGGATGATCGGGGAGAAGGCCCATCGAGGATCGTGTTGAATGGGAGGACGATGATTTGGGAGGGGGAGGGGGAGGGTGGGGAAGAAGAAGGGGAGGATGTGGATGTGGATGTGGATGTGGATGTGGAGATGGTGGATGGGGAGGAGACGGAGGATGAGCTGGAGGTGGGGTGGGATGGGGAGGGGGGACGGAGTCGAGGTTCGTTGGTCTTGTTTTTTTGTGTGGTGTTTTTGCGAGTGCTGATGGGGTTTGTGGGATAGTCCACCCGGTACGCCTGCCGCCTTCCGATCCCGGACAAGATCGACATCGACAGCACCATCGACCACAACATCATCGTCACCCGCATTTCGCGGTGCAGGAGCTGCGACCGCCGGATCCGCCTGAACCCTTGGAGCCTGTGGTGGAGGACAAGATGCCGCCGAAGATGCGGAAACGATGGATACACAAGGAGGCGGAGGCGCGGAGGGAGACGGCGGTGCGGGATGGCGAGGGCGGAGAGGAGCACGCTGGTGGAGAGTGGCGGTGGATTGGCAGGGATGTGGTTATGCTGGGTGGGTGGTTTTGTGAATTTGGGGGTCGAAGGAGACTGATTGATTTTAGATTCGGTTGGGGCTCGCGATGGTGGGATGGGTAGGCAGGTGGATGGGAAGGGGCGTGGCGTGGACGCGCAGGAGGTCGATGAGGAGCTGGAGGTTGGAGATGACGCTCGGCGTCTTGAAGGTTCGCCACCTCAAATTATTTTTGCTGATAGACTTTCTAACATCGATGTATAGCAGCGGCCGCACTACAAGACCTCGCCCCTCAAGCTACGCGCTCCCTATCCCCTCCCCACGTTCCCGAGAGGGAGTCGAGGCTCCAGGACGAAGCGTGTCACGTGATTTGTAAGCTGCCCTTCAACTTCGTATTTTGCCATGTAGCTGACGCGTTTGGATTGAAGCTACGGAGCGTTCGAAATGTCCTGCGAGGGTATCGCCTTCGCCACCTTTGAAGACACATGTGTGGCGGGAGACGGAGAGTGGGCAGGTGAAGCCTGACGCGATAGGTATGCTGGCATCTGATCTTATGTTTGAGGGTACGTCTAACGCGTTGAAGCAGGTTCAGATCATCCACATCCTCCTTTGCCTGCGCGTCGCTCAGCGTCTCCACCTGCGGAGTCACCAGAACCCAAGCCGGAACCTCAGGCGAATTCGGTTCTCAGTACGAGGTCGACTCCACCACCAAGCGTCGCGTCCCTGCTACCTGCACAAGTCGAAAGTTTGCACGAGAACACACCCGAGGAGATGGAGGAAATGGCCATAGTCGTTGATGGAGATGTTTCAACTGTCGATGGTGCGTTTATTCTTCGTTCTAGGTCGGTGTGCCCTACTTACGAGCTCTATAGATGCTTTAAATTCTCCACTATCACCATCACCAGCGCCGCGCTCGCCATCTCCACCCGTCCCTCCACCAAAGTCGACGCTAGCGTCCACTTCGAGCCCAAGTCCATCGCCACTACATTCCACCTCGCCGTCCGCGCTACGACTGCACCCTGTGCCGACGTCTGCGCTTGGACAACCCTTGCCACCAACCGCGACGGACTCGCCCTCTGCTTCATTCGCACGGCTGTCGCTCGTCACGCCCGTCGTCTCCCAGCTTCGCAGCAGTACAAGCGGGGCTAGGAGTGGAAAGTCTGCCAATGCGGTCGAGTCGCCGCAGCTTCTGCAAAGTCCTCTTCGGAGGCTCGCACCGCTAGAATCTTCCAGCGTACCTCCGCATCCGGACGCCGATGACGGGGAGAGCGAGGTGGATTATGAGGAGGAAGAGCGGGAGGAGGAGAAGAGTGAAGGAGAGGCGTTGACGCCGTTGGGGGATAGTGATGATGATATAGATGTGGATAAGGAGGGGGAGATGGGCTCGGATGCAGGTGGAGCTGAGATATCAATGCGGGAGCCGATGGTTTTGTCACCGGAATCGCCGCCGCCAACGCCGTCTCCCGCTTCTCCTGGACCAGCAGAAGAGGAACATATGGACAC